GGGGAAGAAGAGATGGTGGACATAGAAGAGGAAGAAGAAGAACTCTCTCTCTCTCTCTCTGTGTCCAGTACTAACCTGTGAAGATGGCGCCTTGATGCAGGTACCTCGAAGATGGAGCTGGAGCTATGGCGCCACAGGTAAGTCTCGCTGGCCTCCGCCAACCATCTCTCTCCCACACTAGCACTACCACCTACTAGCGCCCAGCGCTGAAGACTACTACTATGGCTACTAGCGCCCAACGCTGAAGACTACTGCTAGCGCTAAGCTACTCCTGGCAGCGCTCCTCCTGAGTGCTGCGGCCGAATCCTGAAGACTACTCGTCCTACTGTCCAACTACCTACCTGGGAAGTGCATGGGAAACCCCTATGTACTACTCGGCCTGGACTGGCTGCAGGCGAGGCAGCAGTCTAGGAGGCTGCTCTTGCCAATGCCAGGGCCAGCCAGGGGCTGCGGCTGCAGCTCCTGCTGCAAGCTGGCGTGGGGAACAGGCCAAAAATAGCTTGTTCCCGAAACCCTGGTTTTGTGCCTGAGTCTTAGGGTAGGTCGATCTTATGAGGGCCTGAACATGGCCCTCCGTTTCAGGCTAAGAAGCCTTTGGGCCTGAAAGGCCCTGAAATAGGCTGAAAACAAAATAGGGCCTGCAGGCCCTCGTTTTCAGTTTCAGGCTGACACGACCGGGGCCTGTAAGCCCTTATTTCTAGGCTTTCAGGCTGAGAATCCGGGACGGGCCCTGCAGGGCCCGTGTGGCTATGCAGTACGCGACAGAGGTGCAGGGGCGGAAACCTGGGAGGAAGAGATGGCTGCAGAGGAAGGGTGGGACTGGGGTGAGGACATGCAACCCAAGAAGAGACAAGTGTGTAGATGACGCCAACCGAAGAAGGAGAGGAAGCTGGCATAGATGCAGATGAGGGGGGTGGGGAGGGAGGTGCACTGGTATGGGGCTCCAGCTGTGACACGCGGGCCGATAGGGGTGAAAAGCCGGTATGGAGGGCCGTGAATTTGGCCTCTAATCTGGCCTCGAATCTGGCCTGCATGTTCTCGAGGAGAGCTAGTAGGCGATCGGATTCGGCGGCTGGACCCGAACTGGTGGCCATAGGGGTGGGAATGTAAGCCGAATCGGCCATGGTATCGCGAGCTAGTAGTGCAAGCCCTTCACTGATGGAGCGGGAGGGGCTCACCAATTCTGCACTATGCATAAAGTCAACAGATGGAGAAGATGAAGATAATGTCGAGGGAGCACTGTGACCGGAGAGACGATCTGTGGCCGTGGTCGGTGTGTCAAAGCGAGCGAGTCGATTGGCGGCACGAGAGTCTCGGGCACAATTTTGGAGTGCGCGCTGTTGGATGTCACGGGGAGCCAGGGTGACACGTAGAAGGGGGGGTAAGGGACTGTGAGAGGAAGGCGAGTACAAATGAGGTCTAACGAATTTCCAAAATTAAATTAAGAAAATTCAAAGTCGGAGTGAGGGGGAAGGAGTGAAAATTTCCAATCCAGGCGAGGAAATGAGGGGAGATTTTCAAGGGATGGCGTGGGGTATAGACAGAAGCATTCATAAGTCAGTCACGAGGTCAATTATGTTTGGACGTGAAGTTGGAATTTTAAAGGAAATTGAAGCAAAATTCAACAATTTTCAAAAATATTCGTAAGAGTTTCCAAAAGTTCAGGGGGATGATAGAAGAGGTAGACATGGGTTGAGAGGAATTTTTTTTGAAGTAAAATGAAAAATTCCTTGACGTATTTCTGGAATTAAACGAATTTCAAAGGGAATTTCAAATAAAAGTAGAAAAATAATTCCTAAATTAAGAATTTATGATGAAATTTCATAAAGAATTAGTGATAGCCACGTAAAGTAGAATGAGAGAAATTCCAGGATTATGTAGATCAAGTCAACAAAATTTATCGACTTGGTACAAGATTAAGATGTATTTCAAAAGAATTTCAAAGGAATTTAAGAAAGAATTGTATTTCTCGACTGGTTACCAATGGTCCGGGGGCCGGTCGTCTCCCCCGGACGTCTCCCCATACGTCCGGTACCCCCGTCATCCGGAAAAACAATTTATTTTTTTCGAAAAATATATATATATATATATTTTTTTTTTTCGGTTTTTCATTTTTAACTCATGATTGGATGCGATTTGAACATGACTCCAAGGCAAAAGTTGCTTGTATTGTTATGTTACATAACATATATTTTTTTTCAGAGTTTTCTGAGATTTTTTTTTTTTTTTTTTTTTTTTTTTTGCTCTAGGTCGGACATACCTTGTCCGATCGGACGTCCGACCAGACGTCCGGTCGGACATCCCGGACGTCCGATCCAACAACCTAGAGAATTTCGGAATTTTATGGGGGATAGAAAATAGAAGGAAGTTCAGCATCAAAAGAATTGAATTTAGTAAACTCCGAAATTTATCTCACAAATTTTTGAAATAAAGTCAAATTTTAAATTGAATTGAGAAAAGGATTTGGTATAATAAAGAATTTCACGTAACTTTTGAACAAAAACGCCGGAATTAACTTCGATCACGGCGTTAGGAGGGAAGGAAATGAAGATTAATCCTATTGAATTAGATCAAAATTCTGACCGACAGGATGGACAGCATTGTCAAACAAACCCTAAAAGAGAGAATATGCGTCATGCGCATTAGGAATTTTGGATGATGCGACCGAATAGGTGGGGTGTTAGAGGAGAGAAGGGGAGATGGGGAGGAGATAAAAGAAGAGGAAAAGGATGAGATCTTTGAGAGAAATCAGCAAGAGGAAGGGAGGGGATTAGTAATAGGGAGATAGATTGACAACACCGCGCTCCCGGTCGGCCGGTAGCAATCAAGGTCCTTCCTCCTAGTCGAGGAAGGTCTTCAATCAACCCCTAAAGGGTCTTCTCGATCGTTCCCCCAGTGGAACGACGAGGTTGCCAGATCGAATGCGCGCAAGGAAGGTGAGAGGCCGTGGCAATGATGATGTCGACAATGGCGGCGATGATGATGATGATGATGATGATGATGATGATGATGATGATGATGATGATGATGATGATGATGATGATGATGATGATGGCCCGTGAAGATGGCGGTACCACGAATGTCGGGGGAGCAACCAGCAGCGTCGCTGTGAACGCTTGATTGCCACAAGCCAGTTATCCCTGCCACCTCTAGCTTGAAGTCTTGAAACGCTTGACGGTCTATAGGCCACACTCTCACAGTTTGTATTCGTACTGGAAATCAAAATCAAATGAGCTTTTGCCCTTTTGTCCACACGAGATTGCTGATCTCGTTGGGCTCATCGTAGGACACCTGCGTTAGCTTATAACAGGTGTGCCGCTCCAGCCGAAGTCCTGGCGTGCACATGCACGTGGGCTGAGGTGGATCGCAACCAGGGGGGAGGTGCGAGCGGATATGCGAGGGGGGGGGATGGCGGAGGGTGAAAGCGGGATAGGAAGCGGGAGTGGGATCGCGATGGCAACTAGGTTAGATCTGGGTAGATCGTGATGGGGAGGGGGGAGGCGTAGTCGCTGTGAATCGGG